AAACGGACGATCCTTAGAGATGTCAACATCTGTCAAAAAAAATGAAAAGTGATATTCCTTCGGGGAAACAGACAGTGGCACAAAGCGTTTCTTGGGGCAAACCTTGCATTTGTGATGCCAGTGTTCAAGACATCAAGGAGGAAAACTGGTCGTTTTAAAAGCGTTAATACATGGGCTCTTCTACCTTCAGGACTGGTGATCGGAGCACGGACGAGTTTACTCATCACTCCTCTGCAGTGACATTTTGGACAAAAAGAAGTATGAGATTTCCATACTATGATGAATTTAACGAGTAACAAGCAATTCTGCTGCAGCGCTTTGTAACTGAGCTTTATGGATAAATGGTAATTCTTGCACAAATTTGCATTTATCTTGACGAGATGAATAATCTATTAGGAGAATTAATTCATTTCCCAAATGATATATCAAAGTACTTAAACAGGTTATGCAATAATCAAAAAATATATTTAACAATCATTCTCGTCATCATCATTTTCATGTCTCACCTTTCTTATACCAACTAATATAAGAGCATAAGAGGGTAGCCCCATAACCCTGCAGCCTGATATTGCACATCCATATTATGATCAGTTGACAGCTGTCAAAACAGGGTATCCGCTGACGGGTATTTTTTTTAAAGCTCTCCGCTGACAAGTTACTAGGTTTCAACTGATGACAGGCTCAAGTCCAATTACTTTATCAGGAAATAAGTTGATTGTTTCTTGTCTACTGCGAAAGAAGAATTTCTTCAGAGAGCCGTTTCTTGAAGGTTCCAATAATTACCAGGTCTGGAAAGCTTTTTTAATTCAAGATCGAGGTTTTAATCTTAGTGAAAGTAATAAAATGATACCAACAGTGAACGAAAAAAAGTGTTTATGAGCTTGAAGTTGCACAACTGGACTATCATTTTGCAGCTTTTGATTTCGAACTGACTTCGAGCGCGAAAAGTTAGCTAGTTTACAGACAAGGAAGGCATTTGATTTAAAGTTGGCTCTTGCACCTTTGTCGTTACGACAAAAAAACTTCAATTTGGCTTTGCAAAGCATGGTCAGTTTTTCACGCATAACGCCCCTTTTTACATCAGATTGGTCAAAATTCACTTGTAAAATTTATGCATCATCTAGAAATTTGTTTACTCATATCGATAGCTGAAGCTACCAGAGTTTTGTGTCATCTAGAGTGTTTAACCGTCTTCTTCCCATGGATCTTTAAAATGAAATACAGTGAAACCTCTCCTTTGGCACACCTCTATTCAAGGGACACCGCCTTTAAGGGGACACAAAATTTAATTTAGTCCCGGGAAAATGTTCACATAACCTTTGTATTTGCTACCTCTACTGAAGGAATGCTACCTCTATTCAGGGGACACTTGCCTTGGCCCCGAGGGTGTCCCTTGGACAGAGGTTCCACTGTATAGTTGCTATCAAGACTCTTCTGTTATTCATGGTTGGTTTGTTTGTTTGTTTTTTGGTTGAGAAATGTGCAGCTTGAAGTCATCGGAGTTCATCGTTCTAAAAAAAACACCCTTGCGTTTAGTACTTAAACTTGCCGGATATTTACAATACAGTGGGGAAAAGTTCTCAAGCGATTCTGGCCTCACCTAATGGATTTCAGGAGCTTCATCTCTGGCAAGCTTAAGTAATTATTACAACTTAAAGGGCTTAAGACCAAAAAAGCCTTTGGCCTGGACGACATTCCACCGCGTCTTCTTAAAGACAGTGCTGCTACGATCGTTAATGCTTCTCTGCGGCAAAGTAAAGTTCCAGATGCTTGGAAAGCAGCATGTGTGATTCCCTTGTTTAAAAAGGGAATGAGAAAGGATATGGATAATTACATGCCCATTTCAATTTTACAGACAGTCTCAAAGGGGGGAATTTCATATATCCCATGATCCTTCGCGGCTAATTTCTGTCTTCTCTCCGTGGTGGAAAGAGCGTTCGAGGGTTTCGAGGGTGATTTTGAACGTCCTGAATTTCAAGATGCAGCTCATCCAAGGTAAGTTTCAATGAGCCCTGTTAATCTTTAGTATCTGATTGATAATGTAAAATGTTTCCATGGTCGTTTCACGCATTATTGCTCTCGTTTACGACCCTGGTAAGCCATGCTGTTTTGACTCGCAAATGAATATTTATTTAGATGACTTTCAATTATCGAAAACTGTCTTTATTCTAGAAAGGTTTTACCCTAATAAATTATTTAAATCGGCGGACAAGGGGTGCTTGATACTAGTTCCACGCTCCGACCTCTTTCGACCTCGCGATTTCTATGGGTTTGATCGTTTTGAAATATCGCATTTTCTGCCCTTTCTCCCCTAAGATGCAAGGCGAAGGTTTCAATTTCTTTACGCTAAGTCCTGCGAAGATGGGACATTTTTTCTTGAATTCCTTTTTTTTACGCTGATCAAAACACAAATATGATCTCTTGAGGGTATGATGAGTGTTTAAATTCAACAGTTTATAGTATTAAGCTTTTTTGTCTCATTATTTTAGGTAAAATTGGTTTCTCATGGTAGCTTCCGGTCGCAACCGCTCGAGGCGAACTTGAAATATACAGGCCAGCAAACGTCATGGAGTAGCATGCCGTAGGACCTTAACCGGCGTATAAAACCTTTAAAGACATTTCAATAATTCTTTTAGGATCCATTGTAAAGAAGAAGTGGGTGTTTTTGTATATATATTTCGCCATTTCTTAATAAAGCTTTTTTCTGTTTATGTTTGACAATGATGCTTAGCTGGTGTTGTGTTAAGAAAAATATAGAGATGTCTTTGTTATTTTTATTGTTTGTTGGAGTTATTTCCTTCCTTTGAATTTTACCTCCGATAGACGTCACTTGGTACTTTAACAGTCTCGGTATTTTCGACTACATAAGCCGAGCTTGTTGAAGTAAAAGCATGTGCGGTCAACGAATGGTTGATGTACTGCATTGATGAATTATTGAACTGACAATATGAGCGCCGCGATCACAAACGAGCAACGAAGAGAAATCTCACACCTAGAATATGTATTTAGTTCAAGACAAGTACGTGGAAATCGCTTGTTAATCCACGGATAGCTTTATCAACGCACGTTAAAACAGGACGTTCTGAAGCAAAGACCTTCCTCGCTAGCTTTTAAGAACATTTGCGTGGACTGCCTTGCGATCGTAAGGCTTAAGTTAACTAATAATCGGCGGCCAAAACACTCTCTTTGACTTAACAAGAGATATATTTGGAATAGTAAAACGATAATCGTTAATAGATCGACACAGAAAAAGTACAAAAGGTTTTATCGGCCACACGAGTCGCTTTCCACCGTTGTTCAATAGTCGCGTCCCTGTTGAACTGTAGGATCACGTGCGTTCGCAAGCTTGATAATATAGTATGAAGCGATGCATCATGGGATATATGAAATTCCCCCCTTTGACAGTCTCTAAACTACTGGAGAGGGCTGTTCATGTGCCACTATGTGATTATTTACGACAGCATAACATTCTGAGCTCATACCAGTGTGGTGTCAGGAAACAGCATTCTACGGAATTTGCGGCTTTATCTTTAGCTCATACAATAAGACGTAACATTGATCAAGGTCAAATGACTGGAGCTGTTTTTATAGACTTCCGCAAGGCCTTTGACAGCGTGAACCATTCCCTGCTGTTAAAGAGGCTTTATGCCTTGGGTATCGTAGATCAAGAATACGAGTGGTTTACTGACTATCTGAAAGGTAGAACTCAAGTTGTTGGGTTCCAGGGAGCTTTCTCAGACGCTAAATTTATTTGTGTCGGTGTGCACCAAGGATCGATTCTCGGACCTCTGTTATTTGTGCTTCATGTGAACGATTTACCCACCGTTGCCCGCAAGTGTAGTATGCTAATGTATGCTGATGACACTGTCTTATTCTATTCCGGAAAGGTTACTGCTACAGTCGAGAAAAGTCTCAATGAAGATCTTGATCTAATTGGATCGTAGCTACAATCACGGACAAAAGTAGTTGGGAAGGTGGAATAAGTTAGCAACATTATTGCTCCATTTCATACGCCTTATGTCTATGTTAAAAAAAGATTATTTGTTCTTCTCCTGAATACCCCCCGCGCCCCCTATTCAATGTTGGGACATGTAACAACAATTACGCACAAAAACAATTTAGTTTTGTCCAACATTGATCCAGGGGCGGGGGGGGGGACAAGTACAAAAAAGGTAAAAATTGGTAACCTTCCCAACATTTTTGACGATGATTGTAGATAATAACAGACTTTTCTTAAACGCGGTTAAGACTGAAGTTACGTTGTTCGGAACTCTCGCTAGGCTTTCTGACGCAGATTTTGGTATGTTTAAGGGCCGACCCATTACGCGTGTTTTGAATTCAGGTATTCAGGAGTTGTATTTGATGAACACATTTCTTGGAATTCTCATGTTAAGTATGTATTATCCCGAGCTGGTAAACGACCGGGAATGCTAGAACGCATTAGGGGGAATTCTTTCATCAGACAGTGCTAATGCCATTTACACAGCTTACATTCGTCATATCATGGATGGACAAAAGGACTAATGAACTAGCGATGGTGGTGAAAGACATTCGAGCGTTAAGGGACTCATTCAGCCCTGATTGGATGAAGTGTGATGGAAAGTTGCATGGACCGAGATTAAAAACTCTAGTGTTAAAAAATATAAGTCAGGACAGTTTAGAACTTGGAAGGACTTGGACAGAGAGAGACAATTTTCGTTTATTCGATTAATAGTTTTTGAATTCGCTTGGTAGTTTTTTCTGAATTTGAATTCGGTCATATTGTAAAATTCGTAGCTACGACGGAGTTTGTGTACAATTTTTGAGTATAGTTCATTCTAGTGAACGTTTCTGGTAGCAGAGCGAGGTTTATTGCGGTCATGTCAGTGAACGGCGAAGTAGCGGATGACGGCGGTGAGGAGGCAACTAGCGGCGAAATCGAGGAGCGAATAGAGGACTTTAGACAGGACAAAGCTACACAGAAATCATCCTTTACTCGGATAAAGAACAAATTGCTTCGCATGCTGGACGAACAAGATTATCCAAGCCGAAGAGAGATAAAAGAAATGTGTCACCAACTCAGCGATGCTCAGGAACGTGCTATGGAAACTATGCATCGTCTTTCAATGGAATACGCGCTCCTTAAGGACAGAGAAAAAAGGAAAAAAGTCGTCGAAGAGATGGACAAATTGGAACTAGAATTTTCGGAGGCGAACGAGAAAGCACAAGAGTATTTAGATGCCCGTAAAGATGGGTTATCGAGTCTGGCAACCGAAGCGTCAGAAAACACCCGTCGCTGTCGAATTACAGAAAGCGTGGCAAAGAATAGCGTGGAACAAATTCGAAGGGACGAAACTAAGTATAAAGAGAAGTTTGATGATTACAAAGAGTCATTACGGGAATTAAATCGTCATTACAAAGAGACATTCGACTCCGGAGGTCGAAAATTTACGAAAGAACCGTACGAAGATCCAACGCTTGGTCGGGATATGTGGAATCAACTAAAGAGAGTTTCCATTCCCGTATTTAACGGCGATAGAAGAGCTTATGAAGGATGGAAAGCAGCGTTTATGGCGTGCGTTCATCAAGCACCGGCCACACCCGAAAACAAATTACTTTAACTCCGGCAGCATTTATAGGAAGAAGCCCTTGAGATCGTGGAACCTTTAGGACTTTCAGCCGCGACTTACGAAGCAGCAATAGCTCTACTGGAACGCAAATTCGGCGGAGAAAGGCGAAAAATAGCATTGCATCTCGAGGAATTGGAAAATATCAAATCCCTTTGCCCGGGAAACGCGGGAGACATCGGACGATTTGCAGATTTGTTGGATGTAACTGTCGCAAACCTTTAAGAGGCTAATCGTCACGACGAACTCGGAAAAGGAACATTGTACATTAGCTTATGCAAGAAATTAAACGAGGGGATGCTTGCCCAATAGGTAGCAACCTATAAGCTCTTAGTGGCGACCCTTAGTCAGCTCTGGGAGTTCCTTAAGCACAATGTCCTTCGCCTTAAGGTTTGTCATCGTTCGGAGACCATTCGAGGAGTAACTTCGTCAAACAGGAACGCTGATTCAAGACGTAATCGGAGCGAGAAGGCATTCTTTGGGAATGCTCGGGAATCGGAAATTCAGAAATATCGCCCCTGCAAAGTGTGCAAAGGACATCACGGAGTTTGGTGTTGTGACAAATTCAAAGATTTGCCAGTTCAACAAAGATGGAATACTGCCAAACGCTTGAAACTGTGTTTTCGCTGCCTAGGAGGAGACCACCGCGGTCAAACGTGTGTCGGGACTAGGGTGTGTGGAATAAACAACTGCAAAGACAATAACAATAGACTTTTGCACGTTTGCAAAGAACAAACTCAAGCAGATCAAAGACAACCGGTTGAAACTGGACCAACAGCAGACAAGAACGAGGCAGCTCACGGCATATCGAACACTAAGAGTGAAACGAAACCTGAAAATGAGAAAGTGTCATTGGTTCTTTTACCTCCTCGGGAGCCTGGTGACAAGCAAGCAGAGAGATCGCACACTACTACACCTTTTGCTGTTCATTGCAAGAAAATACGCATTCATTTCCGTAAAACGGCGACCAACAGCGCGAAGATACATTCATTAACGCGAAAAAGCGAACATTTGCGCATAAATCAGATTCAATAACGATTTTTGCATTTTAATCCACATTCAATAACATTTTTGGGCATTCATTTGCGTCATTGGGCATACAAAAGAGAAAATATACTTTCATTAACGCCAACATTTGAGTCATTAACATTATCTTGAAAATCATCAGGGACAATAGGCAAACATTTAAGTGCGAAATGCTATTCATTAACATTCTTCTGACACTGTTTACAATTCAATAGCATTCCTGGACAGCTTTACAATGGATAAGACAAACATTAATGCGCTTGTACAATCAATTGAACGTTCTTTACATTTAATATACGAAAATATATTTTCAATTACACAATACCAATTCCCCCCCAAAATTGGCCCCAATTTGTTTAAAGAATCACGCCGTACTTCGCCACTGTGTGTTCGTCGACGGCTGCGGCTATACATTTACCTTAGAAGTCATGATGGGGCGCGACAGGGAGTGGAGGGCGTACCGTAAAGTGTGCGGCCAACGAGGACGAAACTTGACTATGACCATGGCAATATTACCTATCAAATGTTTTCCTTGGCAGCTGCTGGAGTAAAGAATACTGTGTNAAGAACGAGGCAGCTCACGGCATATCGAACACTAAGAGTGAAACGAAACCTGAAAATGAGAAAGTGTCATTGGTTCTTTTACCTCCTCGGGAGCCTGGTGACAAGCAAGCAGAGAGATCGCACACTACTACACCTTTTGCTGTTCATTGCAAGAAAATACGCATTCATTTCCGTAAAACGGCGACCAACAGCGCGAAGATACATTCATTAACGCGAAAAAGCGAACATTTGCGCATAAATCAGATTCAATAACGATTTTTGCATTTTAATCCACATTCAATAACATTTTTGGGCATTCATTTGCGTCATTGGGCATACAAAAGAGAAAATATACTTTCATTAACGCCAACATTTGAGTCATTAACATTATCTTGAAAATCATCAGGGACAATAGGCAAACATTTAAGTGCGAAATGCTATTCATTAACATTCTTCTGACACTGTTTACAATTCAATAGCATTCCTGGACAGCTTTACAATGGATAAGACAAACATTAATGCGCTTGTACAATCAATTGAACGTTCTTTACATTTAATATACGAAAATATATTTTCAATTACACAATACCAATTCCCCCCCAAAATTGGCCCCAATTTGTTTAAAGAATCACGCCGTACTTCGCCACTGTGTGTTCGTCGACGGCTGCGGCTATACATTTACCTTAGAAGTCATGATGGGGCGCGACAGGGAGTGGAGGGCGTACCGTAAAGTGTGCGGCCAACGAGGACGAAACTTGACTATGACCATGGCAATATTACCTATCAAATGTTTTCCTTGGCAGCTGCTGGAGTAAAGAATACTGTGTTGGTTTTTCGGTGACTTTCTGGCACGGGCGAGGAAAAAATGGATCCCGATAAGTCGGTGGTCTTTGCGTATGACGGGGTGCCGGCCCACCTAGATTTGGCCATTCCCGCCCCATACGTACACAGCTTATGCTTCCCCCCTCGACATCGTTGAAAAGGATTTAAGTTGTCTGGAAGCGACATCAAAGGCCGACATCTCGAGCCCGGAAATTTACAGATGTATAACAGGAATGAGGGCAAAGCCCTAGCAATCCCACTAGCGGAGTTCGGAAACAACAATTGCAGTGCTTGAAGCTCTGCGCAGAAACATGACATTATGACCGCAGCTAATGTGCTAAAGGGTACCATTTCATGCAAACCTACCTCCCAAATGTTTAAATAGCGAGGTTTTTGAGGGATATACATTTAAAGGACTGAAATTCAGGCCAAATTTATTTGAATTTCTGTTGTTTAATTGAAAACCGATTTTTGTATATTAAATGTAAAGAACACTCAATTGATTGTACAAGCGCATTAATGTTTGTCTTATCCATCCTAAGGTTGTCCAGGAATGCTGTTGAATTGCAAACAGTGTCATAAAAATGTTAATGAATAGTGTTTGCACTTTAATGTATGTCAGTTGTCCCTATTGACTTTCAAGATGGTGTTAATGACTCTGGTGTTGGCGTTAATGAAAGTACATTTTTCTCTTTTGTATGCTCAATGACGCATATGAATGCCCAAAAGTGTTATTGAACGTTGATTAAAATGCAAAAATCGTAATTGAATCTGATTTATGCGCAAATGTTCGTATTTTCACGCTAATGAATGTATCTTCGCACTATTGATCGCCGTTTCGCGCAAATGATTGCGTATTTTCTCGTAATGAACAGCAAAAGGTGTATAACAGCAAAGGGTACACAAACAGGCTTTCTGGCTCTGCGAACAATTCCTGTGATTCTTAAAAATGGTAATCGTGCAATCAAAGTGAATGCCTTACTTGACGAAGCTTCAACCAAGACTTACATTAATGCTGACATGGCAAGTGAACTCAGACTTCAAGGAATCTCGCGGAAAGTCACTGTGAACGTTCTGAACGATCAAACTGAAACATTTGAGACTATGCCCCTTGATGTTGAACTAGAAAGTTTGGACGGAAGCGTGACCAAAACTGTCAGGGCATTCACTACAGAAAGGGTCACAGGAAACTTAGAGGCAATCGATTGGAGAAAGCATGCTAACAAGTGCCCACACCTGACAGGCATCCAGTTCCCGAAACCTGGACCACACCCCCTAGTGGATATTTTAATAGGAGTTGATCACGTTGATCTGCACTATTCATTCAAGGATGTCAAAGGAAGACCAGGCGAGCCAGTGGCCATCCTTAGGATGGACGTGCGTGGGACCTGCCAGCACCCAGAGAAGCGGAGGCCTGCAGACCAATTTCGCTCACACGTAGTTTGTCAGAGAGCAGCAACAAAACTCAGACGAGATAAGCAACCTGCTTCGAAGATTCTGGGAGATCGAAAATTATGGGACATCAACAGAGTTCCACACGTTGACTACAGATGAGAAAGCTTCTCTAGAGAAACTAGAAGAATCAATTAGATACGTTTATGGCAGATATGAAGTTGCAATTCCCTGGAAGGATGACGAGCCTGCATTACCAAACAATTACGAAATGGCACTGCGTCGACTATTAAACACTGAAAAGCGGTTGCTGAAGGATCCAGAAATAGGCGAGACCTATACCAACAACATTAACCAGTACCTTGAGAAGGGTTACATCCGCAGATTGGACCCAACAGAGAAGAGCCCTCTAAAGAAGTGATACTTGCCTCACTTCCCGGTTGTAAGGCCAGACTCGCATCGTATTCGATGCTTCCGCCAAGTTTGAAGGAGTCTCCTTAAATGACGCCATTTACCAAAGACCACAGTTGCAGAGAGAATTAACATATGTTCTACTTCGTTTGCGAAGAAACCCCGTGGAATTAATGTGTGATATTGATGAGATGTATTTGAGAATTGAGGTCGCCCCCAAAGATCGACCATATCAGCGTTTCTTGTGGAGAATATTGAATCAAGTGAGAGCACCTGACGAGTACGAGTTCAATCGAGTTGTTTTCGGAGTTAACTCTTCACCGTTTCAAGCCCAATTTGTTGCTCAGACGCATGCAGAAAAACACAAAGACGTGTTCCCAATGGCCGCAGAGACAGTGCTGAAGTCAACTTACATGGACGATAGTATGGATTCAGTGGTAAACGAGAGCCAAGGTATCAAGCTCTACGAAGAATTAAATCAGCTCTGGTCCAAAGCAGGGATGCAAGCTCATAAGTGGCTATCAAATTCGACCAAGGTTCTCGAAAGGATACCTGTAGAGAGCAGAGCGTCAGAAGTCCACATAGCGAGCTATGGACTACCGATGGTGGAAACACTTGGTGTCACGCGGCTGCCAGGAGAAGACGTTTTCACGTTCAACGCCAACCCTCCGGAGAAAGACTTTCCGCTTACTTAACGGAATTTCCTCAAGAAAATCGCCAAGTTATTTGATCCGGTTGGGTTTTTAGCACCATTTACGGTATTATTCGCGCCAAAATCTTACTTCAAGAAATGTGGGCCGCTGGGATGGACTGGGACGACTTATTCCTGGGAGACCTAGCCAGTAAAGCGCGTAAATGGTTCAAGGAGTTGGAAGATCTGCCTACCATTAAAGTTCCTCGATGTCNTGCTCAGACGCATGCAGAAAAACACAAAGACGTGTTCCCAATGGCCGCAGAGACAGTGCTGAAGTCAACTTACATGGACGATAGTATGGATTCAGTGGTAAACGAGAGCCAAGGTATCAAGCTCTACGAAGAATTAAATCAGCTCTGGTCCAAAGCAGGGATGCAAGCTCATAAGTGGCTATCAAATTCGACCAAGGTTCTCGAAAGGATACCTGTAGAGAGCAGAGCGTCAGAAGTCCACATAGCGAGCTATGGACTACCGATGGTGGAAACACTTGGTGTCACGCGGCTGCCAGGAGAAGACGTTTTCACGTTCAACGCCAACCCTCCGGAGAAAGACTTTCCGCTTACTTAACGGAATTTCCTCAAGAAAATCGCCAAGTTATTTGATCCGGTTGGGTTTTTAGCACCATTTACGGTATTATTCGCGCCAAAATCTTACTTCAAGAAATGTGGGCCGCTGGGATGGACTGGGACGACTTATTCCTGGGAGACCTAGCCAGTAAAGCGCGTAAATGGTTCAAGGAGTTGGAAGATCTGCCTACCATTAAAGTTCCTCGATGTCTACGCCTGGGACAAGAGGAAGAAATGTTGTCGCAAACATTACATACTTTCGTAGACGCTTCACAAGACGCCTATGGAGTTGTCGTCTGCTCAAGAGCAACCTATAAAAGCGGAGCAGTATCCATAAGATTTGTTGCTGCAAAGTCAAGAGTAGCACCCCTTGCAGCTACAAGCATTCCTCGACTGGAGTTGATGGCCGCAGTTCTAGGATTGAGAATGACAGGATCCATTTCAAGAGTTTTGAACGCCAGTTTGGATCAAGCAACTTTCTGGTCGGATAGCATGAATGTACTTTGGTGGATTAGAGGCCGATCTTTCAAACCTTTCGTAGCAAACCGTGTTGGGGAGATCCAGACTGCAACCGACCCAAAACAGTGGCGATACGTTCCAACCAACAAGAATCCAGCAGACTTACTTACGAGGGGACTTAAACTGTCAGAACTGACCAAGAACGAGAAGCGGTGGACTGGAAGGGACTTTTTGGCGCACGAGGAGTCGGAATGGCCAGTTAACAAAGTAGTCATAGAACAAGGAGCTGCGAAAGTAGAAATAAAGAAGTCAAATTCAGAATTACCAGACCATTTCAACCATCTTTATGACGAGCGAGCAATGACTATAAACCAAGAGGACCCATCATGGCGTTTAAACCCCAAACGTTTCTCAAGTTGGAAAAGATTCACGAGAGTTCATGCGTGGGTCCGTCGTTTCGTGGATAACTGTAGAGGTCGCGCGAGACAGAATGGAGAATTAAAGCCAAGTGAAATCGAGGACAAAGAGGTTCAGGTTATTAAAAGCGCCCAGCAAGAAGCCTTTCCTGAAGAGTATTTGGCCCTTCAACGCCGAAAGGAGCTACCGAAGAACAGTAAATTACTTGCTTTTCGACCACGATTGGACGAAGAAGGTCAGATGAGGTGTGATAGTCGACTTAAATATGCAGAGTTCTTATCTCATGATGCTCGTTTCCCGATAATTCTTCCTCGCAAGCATCAAGTCACAAAATTGATTGTGAAGTACTTTCACGAAGAGGGGAATCATGCAAGTGGAACGAATCAGACGTTAGCAGTCCTATCGACTCGATTCTGGATAATATCTGGACGTCAAGAAATTCGAGATTGGGAGAAGGAGTATAATGAGTGCCGCAGGCGGAAGGCCAAAGCTGCAAAGCAAATTACTGCGCCCCTTCCACAGATCAGACTTCAGTTATCACTCCGACCTTTTGCGCAAACAGCTGTAGATTTTGGGGGACCTTTCGTCACAATTCAAGGAAGAAGATCTCGAAGACAAAACGATACTTGTGCTTATTTACTTGCTTAGCCACAAGGGCGGTGCACCTTGAGATGGCCTTTGGACTTGACACTGATTCGTTCCTAAACGCCTTCTATAGGATGGTCAATCAAAGAGGACTACCCAGAGAGATGTTCTCTGACAATGGTACGAACTTTGTCGCGGCCGAGAGAGAATTGCGCGAATTGGTTGAGGCGCTGGATCAAAGCAAAATTGCCCAGTCAACAGCAAACAAAGGAGTAATGTGCAACTTCAATCCGCCACTAGCACCACACTTCGGAGGTGTGCACAAGACGATGATTAAAGCTGCAAAGCGGGCTGTGAATGCAGTATTGGGCAATGCAGACGTGACAGATGAAGAATTAACAACAGCATTCACAGGAGCAGAAGCGTTATTGAATTCAAGGCCCCTCACGTACCAGTCAGCAAACCCTGAAGATGATATACCACTGACACCGAACCACTTTCTGATAGGTCAAATTGGAGGTCAATTCGCCCCAGAATCCGTAGACGAAACCAATTATACTCTCAATAAAAGATGGAGAAGAGTCCAAGAGCTAGTTAGACATTTCTGGCATCGTTGGCTCAGAGAATGGATCCCAAGTCTCAGCAACAGAAGAAAATGGCTGAAAGAGGAACGAGACCTTCAATCAGGAGATGTTGTCTTAGTCATGTCACCCAACACACCACGCGGGCATTGGCCTCTAGGAAGAATCGTCGAAGTATATCAAGGAAAAGATGGTCATGTAAGAGTCGCGAAAGTCCAAGAGGGAAAGAGCCAACTGACCAGACCTATTTCGAAATTGTGTCCGTTGGAATTGCAGTAAAGAAACTTCCGTAGAAATGGAGCTAAAGCAGAGCTGGAAGATGATTTACATGAATGAGACAGCAAGACGTTCGTTAATGAACTTTGGTCACAATGTCATCAACATCGATTTGGATTTTTTATATTTATATTAATTTAGTGCGCCTAGAGACTTTTCCCCTTCTTTCGTATAGATAAAGTTGATATGCTGTGTCATATCAAGGGGGAAGAAATGGACAAAAGGACTAATGAACTAGCGATGGTGGTGAAAGACATTCGTGCGTTAAGGGACTCATTCGAGCCCTGATTGGATGAAATGTGATGGAAATTTGCATGGACCGAGATTAAAAACTCTAGTGTTAAAAAATATAAGTCAGAACAGTTTAATTTAGAACTTGGAAGGACTTGGACAGAGACAATTTTCGTTTATTCGATTAATAGATTTTGAATTCGCTTGGTAGTTTTTTTGTGAATTTGAATTCGGTCAAATTGTAAAATTCGTAGCTAAGACGGAGATTGTGTACAATTTTTGAATATAGTTCATTCTCGTGAATAATGGATTATTGTGACACCGTGTGGAACTGCTGCGGAGTTGGCAACAGTTCGTCACTAGAGAGGTTTCAAAGACGTGCCGCTAAAATTGTTTGAAAAAGGAGCAACAGTGACAGAGCTTTGGATTATCTTAAGTCGCCATCTCTGGTAAAAAGATGAGAGAGCCATGTTAATGATCTCGTCAAAAGATGCATTAAAGGACACTGCCCGCAATTTTTTAAAAACTATTTTACTTTCAACAGTTCCGTCCACAATCGAGTTTCGAGGCGAATAAACATGTTGCACTTGCCAAGGGTTGAAACTGACTCAGCTAAAAACTCTTTTATTACAATGGTTCTGTAATTTTTAAGAGGCTAAATTTTTAATGTTTTAAGTGTCTTTGTCTGAGAAAGTGTTCCAGGGGCCAAAAGTTGTGGTCAACCGATTTGGCTGAAACTTGGCACAGAAGTTGGGT